GGCGTATGACAGCGTGGATAGGGGGGCAATGTGGCAGATGTTGCAGGTGTATGGTGTAGGAGGTAGGTTACTGAAAGCAGTGAAGAGTTTTTACGAGGATAGTGAGGCTCGGTTAGAGTATGTAGGAAAGAGGGAAATTATTTCCCAGTAAAAGAAGGCCTTAGACAAGGATGTGTGATGTCACCGTGGTTGTTTAATAGAGGCGTGGAGTTAAAAGATAAAGAATCACTCATAAAGTGGGAGTTGTCACAATTGCTCTTTGCTGATGACACTGTGCTCTTGGGAGATTCTGAAGAGAAGTTGCAGAGGTTGGTGGATGAATTTGGTAGGGTATGCAAAAAGAGGAAAATTAAAAGTGAATACCGGAAAGAGTAAGGTTATGAGGATAACAAAAAGATTAGGTGATGAAAGATTGGATATCAGATTGGAGGGAGAGAGTATGGAGGAGGTGAACGTATTCAGATATTTGGGAGTGGACGTGTCAGCAGATGGGTCTATGAAAGATGAGGTGAATCATAGAATTGATGAGGGGAAAAGGGTGAGCGGTGCACTTAGGAGTCTGTGGAGACAAAGAACTTTGTCCTTGGAGGCAAAGAGGGGAATGTATGAGAGTATAGTTTTACCAACGCTCTTATATGGGTGTGAAGCATGGGTGATGAATGTTGCAGCGAGGAGAAGGCTGGAGGCAGTGGAGATGTCATGTCTGAGGGCAATGTGTGGTGTGAATATAATGCAGAGAATTCGTAGTTTGGAAGTTAGGAGGAGGTGCGGGATTGCCAAAACTGTTGTCCAGAGGGCTGAGGAAGGGTTGTTGAGGTGGTTCGGACATGTAGAGAGAATGGAACGAAACAGAATGACTTCAAGAGTGTATCAGTCTGTAGTGGAAGGAAGGCGGGGTAGGGGTCGACCTAGGAAAGGTTGGAGGGAGGGGGTAAAGGAGGTTTTGTGTGCGAGGGGCTTGGACTTCCAGCGGGCATGCGTGAGCGTTTGATAGGAGTGAATGAAGACAAATGGTTTTTAATACTTGACGTGCTGTTGGAGTGTGAGCAAAGTAACATTTATGAAGGGATTCAGGGAAACCGGCAGGCCGGACTTGAGTCCTGGAGATGGGAAGTACAGTGCCTGCGCTCTGAAGGAGGGGTGTTAATGTTGCAGTTTAAAAACTGTAGTGTAAAGCACCCTTCTGGCAAGACAGTGATGGAGTGAATGATGGTGAAAGTTTTTCTTTTTCGGGCCCCCCTGCCTTGGTGGGAATCGGCCAGTGTGTTAATAATAATAACATTTTGCCTTTTAAACTGATCCACTTATATTACTTAAAACTCTAGAAAGTAAAACAGTCCCAAAAATTGTTTTTACTTTTTTCAACATATAATGGTGTTGGCAACAGAAAGACAAAAATCTCAATCCTATACATAAGGTGGAATATGACACTGACAGGTTGATGAATACGATATGTACAACACCTGCGTGTGACTGCTTTAATGAAGTTTTGTTAGGTGTTCAGTCCCTTAGTATTCGTCATTCAGAAGCAGAGGCAGGAAGATGAACACTTACGAGCCAACAAAGACATGCTGAAGTTCAAGATATTGTCACAGATGGGTGGGAGCCACTAGTGGAAGTTATGCCCAAGAGTCGAGCTTGAGGTTAGCAATAGGACTGTAGAAGCTACCTTAGGGACATCTTTAACCCTATTCTATTGTTAACCTCTTGGACATGACCTACTTCTACTAGATGATCTCGCTCACTTGTGATACCTTCAATTGCTACACCTCTCTTTTAAAGCAAGCGCAGTGTTTATCCTGCGCTTGCTCAAGACTCAAATTATTATTATTGTTATTATTATAATCAAGGGGGAAGCGCTAAACCCGGAGGATTATACAGCGCCTGGGGAGGATGTGGAAGGCATTCAGGCTTAATTCGGGGAACGGGAGCACAGATCCAATTCCCCTCACCAACATCAAGGAACCTTCCTTGAGGGGAAGACTCTTCAAAGCCTGAAGGACTGAACACCTACCAAGACTGAAAGACTGACTGCCTCATTTTCCACTGTCTCCAGTTTATAACCTCTGTAATGAATTCATAAAGCCACTAGTTGGCGAAGCGTTTTCATAATAAAGATTGCTAGGTGTTACACATGTGTCTTATTCATCGAGAAGTCTTACTGCGTTCTCACATTAACGCTGGTGACTCCTCACCGCTCTGTCACGGTACTGTTCGACAGTCCACACCGATTGTTTTAGATGAATCATACCAGTGTTGGAATACCAACCAGAAAGAGATCTTATTAGTTATTAAAAGCTACCACCACCTCTGAATGACCCACTCTGCTTTACCGCTTCATAAAAAAATAATTGCATATTAAAATGATGATGATAATAATAATAATAATAATAATAATAATAATAATAATAATAATATATCGCTGAAACATGGTGGTAAACCCGCTTTCCAGTGTACACTGCCACTACAGATGTCGTCACAAATGATGATTGTGATCACTGATAATGGATGTGATTATCACTAATGACGGTTATGATTACTAACGATGAGTGTCATCACTAATGATGCTGTGATCACTAATGTAGTGTAAAGTGTAAATCTTAATCTCATTTTATAAGTTGGCCTTGATGCAATAACTTTAGAATGCCTTTTCTGATCAGATTCAAACTTTCATCGCTGATGTGTACTAATGAGAGTTATTTTGGTATTGAATTTGGATTGCAGATGCTAATTTACCAGATTTACTGAAGAATTTCTATTAATCAGTTTCTTCAAAAATGAACAATAGAATATTTTTTCATAGGATTGTAGATTTTTTCAAATAAAATAACTGAGAATACAAAACTCAGAAATATAGACAACTCTCGTTACAGCGCTTTTAATTTTCATAGAAATGGTTACTAGGGAGACGTAGATAGTTATCATGGATACAAATAGTTACAGTGGAGAGGCAAACATATATCGTGGAGACGCATAACCAACTACCACAACCAACATAAGTGATCACTACAGACATTAGTGACTACCACACTTAACATTAGTGACCACCATAACCATCCCCTAGATCTAACACTAGTGACCACCACAATCATTAGTGATCACAGCATCATTAGTGATGACACTCATCGTTAGTAATCATAACCGTCATTAGTGATAATCACATCCATTATCAGTTATCACAATCATCATTTGTGACGACATCCAACATTAATGGCGACCACTACAACCATTATTTGTCATCACAACCAGCACTGTTAACCGTCACCATTAGTGATTACAATAAGCACAAATTAGTGATCACAATCACCATAGTGATCACAAGTAACATTAGAAAGACACATGATCAAACACTACGCAGAGAGTTAGGTGTGACACATGGTGACCTGAAGAATGCCGTACTGGGATGAGGACGGGTAGACAACGGAACCATGTGACTATGTTGTTAGGTAGGTGGTGCTTTGCCTGACTCGGTATCATGTACGAGTCACATAATCCCGTCGTCTTCCCGTCCCCATCCCAATACGGCATTCTCAAGGTCACTGTGTCGCTCACATCTCAATCTCTGCCAATATATACTGTCTTTTTAACCTCTGTATGTTAGACGTTATCAAGGTATCAGGACAGAAACGTTTTCTAATGTCCTAGTGTTTGTTTACGTGTCTTTCTACTCCATTTTGTCGGTATTTATTACCATGGTTTATATCAAACATTAGTGATAACCATAACCACGACTCAGGTCTTGTAGCACTGCCACACAACATATTAATGACCCCGTAACTACGATTAGTCATCTGTTCTAGAACTACTACTACCACTATTAGTGACCACAAGCACCACTAATGCGTTCTGCTACCATCACCACTAACGAGCAGTACAACCACCTCTAGTGATCATTACAACCAGGAGCAGTGACCCCCCACAACCACTAGTAGTGACCGCCATAACCACCAGCAGTGACCCCCACAACCACTAACAGTGACCGCCATAACCACCATCAGTGACTGCCACAAAGACCAGCAGTGACTGCCACAACCACCAGCAGTGACTGCCACAAAGACCAGCAGTAACTACCACAATTATCAGCAGTAACTACCATAACCACCAGCAGTGACTGCTACAACCACCAGCAGACTGCCACAACTACCAGCAGTGACTACCACAACCACCAGCAGTGACTACCACAACCACCAGCAGTGACTGCCACAACCACCAGCAGTGACTGCCACAACCACCAGCAGTGACTACCACAACAACCAGCAGTGACTGCCACAACCACCAGCAGTGACTACCACAACCACCAGCAGTGACTACCACAACCACCAGCAGTGACTACCACAACCACCAGCAGTGACTATCACAACCACCAGCAGTGACTATCACAACTACCTCATAATCACAACCGCCACGAGTGACCACAACTCCCATAAGTGACCACAATAACCAGTTGTGACCACAACCATCAGAGGTGACCACCATAACCACCACTAGTGACGATAACCAAAAGTTACCACCACAACCACAATCAGCAACTTCTACCACAACCACCATTAATATCTTCTTCCACTAATATAAACCTTCGATGTGTAATTTTTCTATTAAATATAATATATATATATATAAATATATATATATATATATATATATATATATATATATATATATATATATATATATATATATATATATTGTTCCTTATTATCATCGTAACACTATTATATTTTTGTCTTTGTAGAATTATTATTATTATTATAATCAAGGGGGAAGCGCTAAACCCGGAGGATGTGGAAGGCATTCAGGCTTAATTCGGGGAACTGGAGCACAGATCAAATTCCCTAAATCAAGAGCCCCTCACCAACATCAAGGAACCTTCCTTGAGGGGTGTCTTTGTAGAAGACTCGGTGCAGTTGTACACGAGTAAACTGGAGCTGCTAGAGAGAACATGAGACAGGACAGGTGTTAGAGGTAATATTATAGGTGCTGTGAGTGCCTATTTGACTCACCTTGTGGTTGAGCAGCATGGAGGTGGTGAGGGAGACTGGTCACCTTGCAGTGTTGCATGCTGGACACCTGGCGGCCGCCCACCACGCCTCCCACCTTGTGTTCTACCACCTCACTGATCTTCCTCTACCGCAACACTGCTGCTGCAGCGGCCGTAATTTCTGAGTCTGGAAAAAATATCCCGTCTCATTCGGTCTCCTCAATTGCAATCCCCAACACCGCCAACTCAGTTTCATTATATTTAACCATTTCGTTATTTTATTTTACTTTTAGTTATTCCTTGAAGAAATGGTGCATACTAAAACCAGCACAACGAAGGTACTTATTTTCTGGCATCACTGGGATCAATATCTCGGTACAGGCTAGTCTGAAACAGGTTCCTCAGTTGCTCCTCTTGCTAGGGTAATCAATGTCACTGTGACGTCATATTGAGCAGCCACTCACAATCTACGGATTTCTCCCGCCAAGTTTTGTTACTGGTGGAGGAGTGGGACTCTGGCAGCAGAGTGTTGTGGACACCTCTGAGTGTCTTGTATTACTGCTGCGGTGGGCAGCTCACACGGCTTATAAACATGAACGCAATTAACTAACTATAACTCTATTTAAGTAACTGGGGAAAGCTAGCTTTAAAAATACATATGAATGTATAAATGACATTGAACAAACTACTCCAGAGGGTTATTAGTGCGTGCTGGTTTATTAAGCGGAGAGAGGCAGAGGAAGGGCGCATGTGCGCTTCACTTGATAAATATTACCAACCTCAACATCAGCTGATATTTAAGTCGTTACTTCAGGTTCAACTATCATTGTAAACTGCTCTACTTCACTGTACTGTCTACCTGGTGCTCACTGCCAGAATTGACTCAGCACCGATACACTGACATAACTTTCTTTTACAAGCTGTCTAGGTTATTTCTTTTAAGAACCAAGGTTAAGAAAATGATATTTCCTGCTAAACGACATGCATTTGTTTTGTTTTTGTGACTAGAACACAGCCCTCTTGGCTCAGGTCACCTTTGTAATCCCCCCAACACACACACACATATGACTCGTATGGATCTGACCAAACTGCAGAATTATTCAGACAAGTGGCACATTGAATTCAATCTCAGCAAAGGTTAGTTCTTAAAAACTGGGGAAGAGGCAGGAAAACCGGAAACCGAGAATAAATTCGGAGGACAAAGCCTGTAAATCTCATTGATATATTAAGACTTAAAGGTGAGCATAGTGCCGAATATATCACCACAGGCATACGTTAATTAAATAACCTCTGTAGCCGATGCTCGTTAGGCAAATCTATTAGTATCCTTCAGGAATGTCAACAAAGGCTCATTCATGACCCTCTATGCAACATATCTCAGGCCCATTCTGGAGTAAGCTGATAAAGCATATTAAGAAGCTAGAGAAAGTCTACAGAGCTATGGAACGATACTAGTGTCGAAGCTAGGGGTAATTAGCCATGAAGAAACGCCATGAAGATGACTACATTAGAGGATAGAAGAGCTAGAAAGACATCATAATGACACGCACAATATTCAGAGGATTAGACAGCGAGAACATAAGGGAAATGCTGGAAGATAAAGGCAGATGAGGCAGAAGGATGCCACGAAGTATATCTTCAATAATGGAGGCAGGATCGATACATAATTTTAAGAATAAGTATTTGCAAGGCTCACAAGGCGACAGGGATGTAAACCCAGCAAGTGGCAAGTTAAGAAACAGGGCCAGGAGCGGAGGCTCGGGCCATGTATGCACAAATAGGCGAATACACACACGAGGAGACTTCCGTTTTTATGAATAAACTTCCCTCATGAAGGAAAACGGGAATGCTAAATGGTGATATACAGAAAATGAAACCATTTGATCAGTTCAGACTCTGGGTTAACAAAGAAAACGAGATTTCTAAATTCAGCATTAGAGAAAATGGGACAAAGTGGCTTATCCTCAGTTTCCTCCCCCAGCAGCCACTGGTGGTCCCAGCCTGGGACCAGCTCAGCCATCACGGCCTCAGACCATCCGCGACCACCACACCGCAAGGGGTCTCTCAGCCTACTAGCACTTGCGCGCGAGCGTGTTCCGTGTGTTCTACTCGGCGTTGAGCGCATGTGGTCACAGGTACAGTGGATCCAAACGTCACGTGTTAAGAAAAATGTATATTATAGCGATATAGAAAGTGACCAGAAAGAAGAGTCTAATGTTTGTGTGTTGGATAAGTAGAGGAGTGGAGGAGGAAGCACGTGATGCTTGCCAGAGTGTGGCGCGTGTGTAGCGTGGATTATATAAGATGTCAGCGGTGCGTGTGGTGGTGATGGTGTGGTCTACACCTGCCCTCACACAACACTGAAGCAACAACAACACCGGGCACTGAGGGCTACACCTGCCCTCACACAACACTGAAGCAACAACAACACCGGGCACTGAGGGCTACACCTACCCTCACACAACACTGAAGCAACAACAACACCGGGCACTGAGGGCTACACCTGCCCTCACACAACACTGAAGCAACAACAATACCGGGCACTGAGGCTACACCTGCCCTCACACAACACTGAAGTAACAACAACACCGGGCACTGAGGGCTACACCTACCCTCACACACCATCACTCAAGCAACAACGTTCAACGCGTCCTGGGTACCTGTCTTGCTCCTCGCTGGAATCACTGTGACCTGGTAAGTATTCTATTAAAGTATCTTACGCGTCACGCATGGCTTGTGACAGCAATAACGAGCACTTTTCGGTGACCGTTGTTGTTACATCGTTACTGTGACGGTTGTGAGATTGTCACTGTGACAGCTGTTGTTACACCGTTAATGTGACTTTTATTACACCGTTACTGTGACATTTGTTACACCGTTATTGTGACCGTTTTTTTACATCGTTACTATAACCATTGTTGTTACAGGGTTACTGTGACCGTTGTTACATCGTTACTATGATCGTTGTTGTTACATCGTTACTGTGACTGTTGTTGTTACATCGTTACTGTGACCGTTGTTGTTACATCGTTACTGTGACCGTTGTTGTTACTGTGAGAGTTGCTACACCGTCTCGTCGGGGTCAGCTACCTTTACGTCAACGCAATTTCGTGGAAATTATATATATATATATATATATATATATATATATATATATATATATATATATATATATATATATATATATATATATATATATATATATATATAAATTGACTAAATGTCTTGTTGTGTTGACGGTGTTTATGAGTATGTAACACACACACATACATATGGTAAAGCTCATGGAGGAGGGAGAGAGTGGACCTAGTAGCCATCCGTGAAGAGGCGGGGCCAGGAGCTATGAATCGACCCCAGCAACCACAATTAGGTAAGTACATATACAGAGGCTGGAAAGAATTTTGCCCAGCAAGTGTCAAGTTAAGAAGCGGGCCCAGGAGCTGACACTTAACCTCAGCAACCATAAATACGTGAGTACAAATAAGCTAGTAAACACAGAAAGGTCCCCGTGTTTTAGAGGTCATTCACAATCCACCACCAAATAACAGAAGACAAGTAGGATATGCAATGTAGCAACGATAATAATAGTAATAATTATAAAATTATTAGCCATAATTATAGTTATAATTATAACACTAATTGAACTAATTAGCAAACCCAGCTGACAGATCTTGAATTAACTGTTAATAGTAGGAAGCTTCAGCTGTTCAACAGGTGGTATATACAAGAACCATATGTGGCAACAGGTCATCACCTATGGCAACAAGTCATCACCTGTGGCAACAAGTCATCACCTGTGGCAACAAGTCATTACCTATGGCAACAAGTCATCACATGTGGCAACAGGTCATTTCATGAGCATCTGTAATTGGCTGATTCTGTTGCCATCAGTGTTACAGCAGAGTTGGGTAGCTTATTCTGAAGTTAGTGTATACAAGGCTGTATACACTAACAGGTGTGTAACTCTTATTACATATATTGTGAAGACGTGTTGGTCAATGCCGTTTAGTGAAGGGCATTGAAAAAAAAAATACCTAACTGTTGTGTCTTGCTTATCAACACAAAAGAACGTTGAATTCAGAGAACAAGCTACACAGGATGTGATGAAATACTTTATCAGAGGCGTAAAGGGTCGACAGATTAATTTGTATCATAGCACAGGGGAGTAAAAAGGCACCTGAAGTGTCAGTGGTGTCAGGCTGAACCCACAAGCAACCTATTATGTAGAGGATGCACAACGAACTCGATGAAGGAGAAGTCCTTGACTGCAAAACAATTTATTATTTTTAGTAACGTGGTGTGATAATAATTTTCTCACCAGTAACGTGGTGTAGTAATAATTTCCTTACCAATAACATGGTATGATCATTATTTTCTTCCCAGTACTGTGAGATAAGTCACACCGTCAAGACAAGGAAAACACAGTGACCTTTCTTGTTCACACCATGAGGATAAGGACAACACCGTGATCTCTCTCAGTCACATCGTGAAGACAAGAAAAACAGTGATTTTTCTCGGTCACACTGTGAAGATAGAGAGACACTAGCTTTCCCACACGTGTTACTGTGTCACGTGAGAACATAACAGCGTGTTACGTCAACACTTCCTTGTAATGTGTCCTCGTAAAATACAGACTTTCAGGAATCTTGACGTAGTAAACAAAGGCGCCATTTGTGGTGATCACGCTCGCCAGCTGTAACGCCAGGGCCTCGCAAGCGCCTCGCCAGGGCCTCGTCAGGGCCTCGCCAGGGCCTCGCCAAGGCCTCGCCAGGGCCTCGCCACTCAACAACTATTAAGGAAGCTATAAGATTTACATAATACTTTAATTCACACTGTCATTCAGCATTTTCACGCTAAAAAGTTATGCACAGTGATACATGCAATAATGCAAATCATTCAGACATACACACACCTCACAACAATACTTAATTCACAACAATATTAATTCATACCTCACCCATATTGAGTTACAAACTGAAAATGACTAGTCTCCCTTAGGATGGCCCAGGCTCTGGCCAGGGGGACAGGGGTAGCTTGGGTGACCCAGCGGTGACAAGGCTGGCTTAGGTGACCCTGGGTTGACTTTACTCAGTACAGTAAAACAGCTGAAGCGTCATGTAACTCTTACATTTACTCTTGTTTCTTCCTCTTGGCAACGTAGATAGTTTTCAAAAGTCTGTTAGCATAGCTACGACAGCAGCGACGTAGTAGCCTGGAGAATGGTGCTACTTGAGGGTGTTGGTGTTTGCTATGACAGCACCGAGGTAGTAACTTGGACACTGCTGCTGGTTCAGGGTGTTACTGCTTGTTATGACAGCATCAAGTCAGTAGCCTAGACACTGCTGCTGTTTAGCGGTATTGCACTTTAACACTAGTGCTGTGACTTTAAAGTTGGTGCTGTGACTTTAACACTGGTGTTGCGACTTTAAAGTTGGTGCTGTGACTTTAACACTGGTGTTGCGACTTTAAAGTTGGTGCTGTGACTTTAACACTGGTGTTGCGACATTAAAGTTGGTGCTGTGACTTTAACACTGGTGTTGCGACTTTAAAGTTGGTGCTGTGACTTTAACACTGGTGTTGCGACTTTAACACTGGTGCTGCGACTTTAAAGGTAGTGCTGTGACTTGAGTATCCCATATAGAAAACGTTTTTCATTCTTTGTCACTCCATTTCAAAACAGCATTGCCATTGTTCTGGGACAATTATTATTAGTACAAATAGTAAATAATGGTAGAATGGAAAGTAATCTGCTAAATTTAGTCTCTTCTATGGTTATTAAATGTTGTTGGTGAGTGATGTTCTCTGTGTTCATCTTCGCTTGTAAGGAACTGAAGAGAATAATATGCAAGTATTTATGTATATATATATATTATATATATATATATATATATATATATATATATATATATATATATATATATATATATATATATATATATATATATATATATATATATATATATATATATATATATAATATATATATATATGCAAAACAACCACTCTGAAAGAATAGCATCCATGGAAGCTATATAAGAGGTCTGGCCAACACCTCACTATCAGATCCCACAACGGTTAAACACCTGACGCGCGCCGACCCAACTGGACAGGTCCTTTGCACAACTCACCCATGAAATAGGTAATGATTTAAAATACCCAAGAAATGTAATTGATAAATCTTTTAAAGTTGCTAGAAATACTTTCTACAATCCAAAAAGGGACAACCAGCCTTATTCAACTAAAAATATGTTGGTTCTCCCTTACCATGAAAACTTGGTTGATATGCCTTCTCTTCTTAAGACTTTTAATATTAAAGTTGTATTCAAAAATCTTGATAGAGTAAAAAAACTTTTGATAAAGAATTCCCCCCAAAATGCTGATGGATGTGTCTATAAGATTCCTTGTAAAATTTGCGATAAAGTTTATTACGGTCAAACTGGTAAAAATCTCGAACTAAGATTAAAACAACATAAATATAGCATTAGAACTGGACAAGATTCCAATGCTCTATTTATTCATGTAAGAGATTTTAACCATCCAATTGATTTTCAAAAAGTTGAGAAAGTAGTATCAAGCAAGTCCATGGTCGACAGGAATATAATTGAATCTTGTTTCATAAAAAGCAGTTTTGACAATAATATGAATATTTCCTTTGGTTTATATAAATTAGATCCATTTATAATTAATAGAATTTGGGAAGAATTTAATAATACACTGGACAAATAATAATTTTTAAATTTTCTTGGGTAGAATAGTTTGTGGGTGAGTTGTGCAAAGGACCTGTCCAGTTGGGTCGGCGCGCGTCAGGTGTTTAACCGTTGTGGGATCTGATAGTGAGGTGTTGGCCAGACCTCTTATATAGCTTCCTTGGATGCTTTACTTTCATAGTTCCTTGATAATGTGAGTAGTCACGAAAGCGCTTGGAATTTCTCTATTCTTTCAGAGTGGTTGTTTTGCATATTCTGAAATCACCTGTTTACTGTGATCTTATTGCGCAAATATTATATATATATATATATATATATATATATAATATATATATATATATATATATATATATATATATATATATATATAAATGTCGTGCCGTGTTGCAGGGGTAGTGGTTACCACTAGTGTTACAGGGGTAGAGGTTACCACCAGTGTTACAGGGGTAGAGGTTACCACCAGTGTTGCAGGGGTAGTGGTTACCACCAGTGTTGCAGGGGTAGTGGTTACCACCAGTGTTACAGGGGCAGAGGTTACCACCAGTGTTGCAGGGGTAGTGGTTACCACCAGTGTTACAGGGGTAGAGTTTACCCCCAGTGTTACAGGGGCAGTGGTTACCACCAGTGTTACAGGGGTAATGGCGGCCTCCACCACCCCTCCAACAAGGGTGAAGGGAGAAAGTAGGTGTATAAATAACAAAAGTTATGATTATAGCTTCACTGAGAACGGTTTCTTCCTCTCGTGTGTGTGTGTGTAGAGTAGTCGCTGCTTCCTGGGACTACTCTGTGTGTGTGTGTGTGTGTGTGTGTGTGTGTGTGTGTGTGTGTGTGTGTGTGTGTGTGTGTGTGTGTGTGTGTGTGTGTGTGTGTGTCTGTACTCACCTAGTTGTGATTGTAGGGGTCGAGTCATAGCTCCTGGCCCCGCCTCTTCACTGGTCGCTATTGGATCACTCTCCCTGAACCATGAGCTTTATCATACCACTGCTT